TGAGATGTTCCCAAATCTCCTTTGTCATCCATCTGAATATGCATGGAGAAACAGATCAGTTTTCTGTATTTTATTGCTCTTTTTATTTTAATAAGAAAAAACAAATATGTAGAAAATACTGGGACTATATTTGACAAAAAAAAAAAAAAAAAAAAACACAAAATGACAAAATTTATAAGTCTAACAACTGAAAATTTTTTCATGTTGCTTTTTCCAAACCAGCATTTTTCCTTTTTTAACTGCAACACTTCTCCCACAAAGTAATGTCTCATATGAGGTGCAGAAGCAATGATATACTATCTCACAGAAATCACAGGAACTAAAAAACTTGCCTAATTTGTATGACCTTTTATTAAGCACAAATACTTGTGATTCAATTATCTAGTATATGATTCAACAATTCAAGTATATGATTCAAAATAAAGTCAGATAATTGTCTCTCTAGAAATATTAACAGTAGTACACTTCTGTCCTAAAAAGTAGAAAGGTCTGCTAGATGAAAAAGTGGTATGGAAGCTGGCATTTAAACTAACAACAGTGTAGTTGCAAGAACAAACGGCTATGGTGAACTGGCCAATGGAGGAAAGAGCAACAAGGATATTTTAGGCTGGAAGTGACAGGGAGGTTTCTGGTCTTCAGAGAAATTAAGCTCTGAACCAGTTACCTCACAGAAGTAATGAAGAAAAATGAGTTACCTAGTTTTGGAATGAACTTAAATTCTGAAGGTGGTTACACAGAGAAAAGCAATAGCAAGCATCTGGACAGAACCACCTACACCCCTCCTGTCAGTCCTTTTCCATAGGACGAGAGTTTATTTTCTTTTAAATACTTACTCGTCTGTTTATTCACAGATCCAGACTCATTCCACCTGGCTTTAGTCACTTAAAACAGGCACTTAAATTATAAAACCTTGCCTTCTGCAGTCTGGAGAAATCTGCGTGACTTTCTCCAGCTGCTTCTTCCTCTTTCTGCTTTTGATTTCAGAGGGAGACCACAGAAACTCCACCACTTTATGTGCTCCATTGAGGCGGGATGAAGCTGGGCCGGAGGGCCTTCTCCAGTCTCCACAAAATACACCCCAAGCATGAATAAGTTGAGAGTTCATAAAACTCAGAAGAAACGTGACTATTCTAGACAAAACTTCAGAAAAATCACAGTAGCGTACATGAGATGAATGGTTAAGAGGTGTCTCCACCTCTAAATTTAGGTTTCTTTTATACCTGAAATCCTTCTGAATTTACTGGGAATCTTCTCTAGATACTCAGAGAAAGAATGCATGTTTCCTCCTTAACCATCTAACTGTCTCCTGAAAGACATCAGTATGCTAACAAAGCACTTCATAACTCCAGAGAACTTTCAATTATCAGTTGAAAAAAACTCTAAAATAATTCACAAAAGTTTCAAATACATTATATAAACACATCAGCTATTGTAAGCGTACCTGTTGGGATCCTGTAATAAATCTACTGCTTCTCTTAGTTGGTCTATCATTGCTATATCAATAGTTTGTTCTTCTGATAAATTTATTCTATAACAGAAAACAAAAGCATTCAAAAAAGAGGTACAACAGCCATTATCCTGGGTAGTCTGAATTTCAGTTTGCAAGCTCTATCTTCCAACTGGCATATAAGCACTACAGAGGGGAAAAACCCAGCCTCTCTGCACAGTAGTATGTGCTGAACTTATGGAAAGTTTCTTCTGAAAAAATCCTCCAGCACTTTGTCCTTAACAAAGCCCCCTAACCTAATATATACATTCATAAACAAATGTGATGAATGAAAACTTTTAGCATTCACTTAAACAGACTGAATTCTAAAATCAAAAATTTATTTACCAATATTTGACTCTTAACTGCACTGATCACATCTATTGTTTTCATGTTTTCTATTGGTTTTAACGATTCTTTTCATGGACCAGCATGCTTTCTCTTGCTTTTCAGCATTTCTAATTCTTTTTGCCATTTAGAAACACAATAATCTGATAGTTCTATCAATAAGGCTCTTTCCAGAAAGTACTTACTCTGCCCTTCATTCAATTTTTGTTTTTAAAAAAAAAATCATATATTACTCCACTGTTCCGCTTAGTGACAACTTCCAAGTACAGGAATGCTAAATCCTCTTTTCTAACGCACTCTCCTCAGCAACTGATGTTCACTTGCTCTGCTCTTGAATTAATGTCTATGAATTAATGATTGCTTCAGGGTTAAAATTATGACAAAATAGAAAAAAAAGAATGAGGGATTTTTTTCCAATTAAGCTGCATTTTAAAAAATGCACATTAAATTTAGATCTTACAAGTTTTGATAAAATCCTTTTTTACTAATGCCATTAACAGATTAAATATCAAAATACCTAGTTAAAAATCTTGTATTCTACATAGGTAAAAATATTACAGCATTATTGGTGCATATGAATTAATTAGTTGCAATATAACATCCACTCTATTCACCAATAACATGTAAAACATTGAACACACACAGAGACACAAATTGCAAGACTCTGCTTCTGTCATGTCTTCAAGTCAACAAAATTATTAACTGATAAGGAAATGCCAGTTCTGGTCAATCTAATGAAGTTACACAGCTAATTACTTATAGATACATAAAAATACTTACATTTCGTCTGTTTGCCATTGTGCATCCTCTTCTATTCTCAGCAATTCATCACACTCTGCTGCTCTGCTCTGTAAGCAGACAAAGTGATATTGAGAACCGAACTTTGCAATTAGTAGGCAGACAAATTTTGCTTTCAGACTTAGCACTGACCTAATTTACGTAACAGTTTAGGGTGGCTAGTTGAAGCAATCCAACACTTCTGCTCCACTCCTCACTCTACCCCCTTTTAAGATACTGATTACAAGATCTTCTATTCACTGTTCAGATTTTATTGAGGTCAACAGCCCTTACCCTCCTTTAACTGCAAAAAGAAAGTCAAACAGCAGATGAATTCTTTATTCTACGCCCCAGATTTCATTCGTGCCTTTCTGGCGTACGCAAACAATGCTTCAATTAAGTACAACCCTAATTCTCCTCCCGCAGCCAGTTTTGTTTACAGAGCGAGGAAATTCCAAATATGCAAACAGTAGCAACTATGTACTTTATCCATCATTAACAGGACTCCTACTTGACAGTTTCTACTGGCATGAATAATTATTTTTTAAAACAAATCAGAACAAAAACTGTGTGCAACAAATCATATCATTCAGCCAGTTATTTTAGGTTTAATGTAGGCATAAATTAGAGCCTCCACTGTCCTACCTACAACTATGAAGTACTAGTTATTAGAGAAGGTGACTTTCTCTTATGCTTCCATTTGGTGCTTTGCAATTTTCTTTTCTCTCTCATCTCAGACAGGCAGAAGCTCTCTGAATGGATGTGCATTTGTACTAGTAGAGAACAAACAGCAGAAAAGAGAGGCTTGTCCTCTTCTGTGTCATGTGTTTGGCACATCAGTTGCATCATCCTGTACCAATAAATGCTATCCAACTCTGTCAGATGTGTCACTGAAGAGTGTTCCAGCTTCTCTAACATTCCCCAAAGATGGCCCATTCACCAGCAGAATGAATAAAGCCATTCTTTTTTCTTTTTCTTCTCTTTACAGAAATGAAGTACGTGATTTTGCCCATAAGGTCACATATTGTAAGATGACAAAAATGAAGCACTTATTCTAGGTGATCCTCAGTCTCTGGGCACAATTATATAAAGAAGATAAATAAAGCCATGTAAATTAGGACTAACATTTGAAAAATTACCAAGTCCTCCAAGTCTAAGCTCTTCTTTTACACTGCAAGTTGTACTGATTTTATGTATGGTTTGGTCAACTGGAATTTCAATTTTAGAAGACCCCTACTGTCCCAAAGGCATTCTAGTACATGACTACATATAAACCAAAGAACACAACAAACTCAGAAATCCACACAAGAAAGAAAATGCCTAGAGTTCAAGATCCTCAGAATAAAATGGATGTACTACCTGTTCAAGCCACCAACTGCTGATCTCAACTGCCATAATGTTAAGAAGATATCAAAATTAAAAGAAATTAAAGTGCTAACTCTGGCAAAATTCTTATACTGAAATTCAATACAGTGACCTATATTTTACTAAATCCATGTCTGCAACACATTATTTTAGATAATATCATCTTATTATGATAGCAGACATTCCCAAGGGGATAGTCTTCAAATAGTACACTACTGAAAATCAAGATGATGAAATGAGAAGAACGACAAACGAAAATACAAAGTGTGTACATAATACAATGCACAGTCAGCTTCAGGTGTGTGTGTACTCCTTTGTCAGGGGATGAGGAAAGTATTCTATCCCCTTTTACCTAGTTTATTCACCTGAAACATGCATACTTGCTGAAAAGTTGGGTGCAGGAAACTTAGGATCATTTATTAACATTTTAATTATCTAAAAATACTACTAATAATATTTCAACTATCTAAAAATAAAAATCCCTCAATCTTTTAGTATAAAAGTCACAAAAGAACAAGCCAATATAAGATGAGGCTTTGGGCAACCTGGTGTAGTGGAGGATTTCTCTGCCCATGGCAGGGAGGTTGGAACTAGATGATCTTTAAGGTCCCTTCCAACCCTAACCATTCTATGATTCTATGATTCTAAGATAATCTGCAGCATCCCAAACATCTAGGAACTATAAATAACTCTTCTTAACAATCAACAGTACTGAATTCACATTTTTACTTGTAAATAATGAAAAATAATAAGCAACATGTATTTACTATGTAAATAGTTTTCTGGTAACTCCATGTCTTCAGTAACTATGAAAGGGAAAAGTTTGTTGGTTTTTTTTTCCCCCTTTGTTTTTAAATGCTAGTTCTCTGTGGCTGTCACCTCAGAGACGAGCTGAAGATCTGCAAGAGTTTTGTTGCTGAGAAAAAAAACAATTGCTCAAATAAAGAGTTCTTTTGCAGAACCAGATCTCAGTTTTCAAAGAAGCTGAAAGGCCACATCCTTTCTCTTTCCACTATTCCTTCCCAGCACATTTTTTCCTGTAAGAGATGGAAGATGGAAGAGATACAATATCTCTTTGCACACCTTGAGAATCTTTGCTGAAGGAGAAAATTAGTCTAAAAATACCCATATTAGATAATCCCTTCTGGCCTATAAATCAAGAGGAGACATAATGTCCACAGGAACGTCCAAATGATCTAACAAATGTATCTAACGAATAAATTTTCCTAGAAAAAAACCCCACTTGCTCAAAGTTTCTCTAGAATCTTTCAAAAACTACTCAGTCTACCAACTACGTTTAATTTCTAAATTCATCAGGCAGTTCTTGCTATATAATAAAGCAAGTGAATTCCATGAGTTTTCACTCAACAGTAATCACTAATTATTTCTAGTACATTTCTATGGATTCTATTGCAGCTTTCTCACACATGTATGTCTAGATATATTCCGCTAAACCTAATGCCACAAATAGAAAAAAATGAGTAAATGACAATACAAATGAAGAAAACATAGCTTAAACCACACAAAAAAGCACAATTTGGAAAAGGTCATTCATTATGGAAAACAGTTCAAAAAGAAAGCACATTTGACAGTTCCCTGACAAGCAGCCATATGCCAGGAAGATGTCACGTCACTGACAAGCAAGCATTCATTAACCATGACAGAAAAACATGAGTAATACTTTGAAATGTATTAAGCAACTCCCTATGACATGTGTAACCTGCAGGCCAGAGCACCAGTGTTCAGTAATGAACATCTTAAGGAAACTAAAGCGGCACCCAGAGCTTTAAATACAAAAAAGCCCGATGGGTATAATCCCAAAGTTTCTTATTGTGGATAACTCATGTTTTTCTTACATACTTCATTATACACACACACACACATATGTTTTGTTATACACACAAATATACATACAATTACTCAAATGCACTTCCTTATGCACTTTCTTATAACCAATAGCATCTACTAGAGTTTATAACACAGTCAGTGTATTCTCCCTAAATGCCTCAAGAAAGGAAGTTGTCAATTCTTTTAAGGGGTAGGTTCCCAGAATAATAGATTTTATTTTAGATTTGACATCACTTGTCTTTATAGGTCTCTCAAATTCTACTATAATTTTAAAACGTTTAAGAAAATGTATTTTGATACTGTAACATTATTTCATAACTTCAGTCAGCACACCTAGCACTGAAAGTCTTTCTGTATTTTATTAATGTAACAAATGCAAAAATTGCTCAACTCAAAATATAAAGTAATTAGTACAGAACATACCTGCCACTTTTTCTTAAAGCCTTAAATATAGTTAAAGGATAACTCTCATATACACTAGAAAGACAGTTATGGGTACATTGACCTCCTAGATTAATTAAAATCACTTTAAACCCACCTGCTTATTTTTGCCCTCTGTATCTTTTATGACAATGAATATCAATTACAATCTCTTATTCATTAAAATATCTGCAGTTTGTCATTCCTGTTTGCTCTATACTTATGAAAGTAATGAAGGTATTTCCCCCAACTTCAAATTGTCACAAACTTGCCTTAATGTAACTCATAAATTCAGTAGTAAGAGTTTCCGATTCATCAAATTGGTTTCCTGTTTCTCTTGACTTATCATTGACAATCAAGTGAGAAGATCCTTGATGGAACTCCACTAATAACAACAATTAAAAAAAGACAAAAGAATGATTTCTGGTTCAGCTCAACATTTGTTATTCAACATAATTTAAGTATATTAGATTATAGAGTTCAAAACCAAAGTTCAAATTCAAAGCATATCAAAACCTTCAAACAAGTTAAGACCTTTGCATTTTAATGAGTGATTCGTTTCAAAGTTGTAACAAATCAATACCCTGGGCTTACACTGTTGTAGATCAGAAGCACCACAACAAGCATTGATGGAATCAGTTTTGAACTACATCAAGTATGTCTTGTCAGTACCTGTACAAGAACACAGCTGGACAGCTGCAGAGTATCTAAGGATATTCAGATGACTCAGCCACTGACTTGCAGTTTAATGCAACTTCAGAGTTGTTATGCTGTAAAAAACACTTAAACTCTTAGCAGAACTCAAATAAAATGATTTAGAGCCTTCAGAGCCCATGCCAATCTCTTGCTTGCATACACTATTTCCAGGGGTATGAGGCAGTAATAATTTTCTTCTCCATTTGAAGTGGTCTGATCCTATAACTTACTCTCTCCAGTTTGCCAAAAACACTGTAGGATGTAATGCTCTTACTATCTCACTTCGTATTCTACTAAATTCTGATGAGTATCTCAGCTGAAGTTCATGTAATCTGGTATGCAACACTAGGGAAAGGCTGATCTATTTATATGGTTTCATAGAATCATCAAATGGTTTGGGTTGGAAGGGGCTCTAAAGATCATCTAGTTCCAACCCCCCTGACATGGGCAGGGACACCTTTCACTAGATCAGGTTGCTCAAAGCCTCATCCAACCTGGCCTTGAATGCTTCCAGGGATGGGGCATCCACAGCTTCTCTGGGCAACCTGTTCCAGTGCCCCACCACCCTCAGAGGGAAGAATTTCTTCCTTACATCTAATCTAAATCTCCCCTCTTTTAGTTTAAAGCCATTACCCCTTGTCCCATCACTACATGCCCTTGTAAAAAGTCCCTCTCTGGCTTTCCATATGCAACTCTCTGACTTCATCCTGACATTTATCATTAGTATGTACAAACCTCAGAGAAACATCAGTATATAGATATAATTTAGAAAAATATAAGTTACTTCAATAAAATTTAGATAGAAGTACGTTTTCTTGCAAAATCCGAAGAGATTTACTTGTTTCCAGAGGTGACATTGACTCTGATTAGTAAAGGTTTATGTACACACTAAGTCCAACCACAGAAATGGACTCTGCTTTTGATAAGGTATTACACATTGATATTAGTGGTTGGGAAGAATGGTTTCAACCAACTCTCACTTTTCTTCCCCCAGTGAGAACCAGAACTTATTAACTCTTCAGACAAGGTGTAATAAGTTCATTGGAATTGCTACGGAAAATGACTATAAGGACCTCAATTCAGTCGAGTTAAAAAAACGTTCTAAGCAGCACACTTTTTTTGACTTTTTACATGACTCCATATGCATGCTCAAAGACTTTTGGGTAGGTAGGCACAAAAAAAATTAAAACGCATAAGTTAGCGAAAGTGTCTGTTGTTCAACTAGAATATACAAGAAAAATCAATTTAATAAGGAATTTATCCAATGCAAAATTAAACACTGAAAATTTCAAGGAAAATAGCAGTAAATAAAACTCATCTAAAGTTGATGTTTGTAGGCCCCTGAAAGATTGATGCTTGTTGGGCTGTGATTTTTCCAAACTGAATTTACAGTCTTATCCATGGAATTACGGACAGAATTTCCCTGTATTTAACTTTCACTTTATTTACATTCCAACCTTTTATTGAGTTAGCATGGTGACCTGAATCTTCCTTTACAACCTGATCTTCTTCCACAATGTCCGACATCGGAACATTAAAGCTGATAGTATCTTCATCAGATGGCTAAGGAAAAATAAGAGAAACACTGGTTTCAGCTGAAAGCAAGAGTGATAAAAACATACATATTAAGAAAAGCGCTCACTAAAGAGTGGCAAACTAATATGGGAGAGGATACCAGAGCATCTAACAGGACCAAATCCTGTTGCAGTCATGCTGAATACACCCTCACAGGAGGCTTGCCAAGCAGAAAAATTCATCTGTCCTCTTTTCCTATCTTCCTCACTGCACTAGTCCTCTCCTTGCAGTGACACCGCTACCCTGTGCTTGTCTCTGTGCACTTTCCTGGGACAGCTGAAAATAGAGGCTCCTTGTAGCCACCAAAGTCTGTAGAAAAACTGAGCCTTGTATCATACTCCTTTTTTCTTTCCCTCCAAGACGCTTCTACCCTGCTTTACCACGCAGCTTGGTAATTTAATGCCTAAAGCAAGACGAACTTTGTAGGCTGAGGCAATATCTTTTATTAGATTAACTGGTAGAGCTGAAAAAAAGCATAAACTCTCAAGTACACCAGCTTGTTTTTGTTGACTTAAAAGCTCGTCCATTTTTTCCAGCTGTATTAGTTGGTACACTAAAACGTGTTACTCTTATCTACAAGCTTATCCTGTCTATAACTTTACAGATAGTGGCCACACAAAGTGCTGACACTAGCCTTCACTTTGTCCCATGCCACTAGGGCTCTGCTGTTCTGCAGGACTGGCAGGGATCTGCTCATAGTAAGGCCTGCTGATGTTCTCTCCTGAGGTCACTTACAGTAAAAACACAGTTTGCAGAAGAGGCCAAGTTTTTGTTCCTGCTCTCCTGAGATAGAGAGCTCATCACTACAACAGTCTCTCAGAGCTTTGCAAATGTCAGTTCTCAGCAAACCCACTAGTGTCGCTTATTCTTATATTATGCTCTGTGTTTCTGTAACTCGCTACTCTGTGCATACAAATTCCATACATGTATTCTGTAATTGTAACCATTATAATACATACATAGCAGTTTGTTCCATATCCTTTAAGAATATATATTTTTCAGGAAATGGTATTTCCCTGTTTATCAGTTCAGCCCATTGTAACACAAGATCTGCAGTGGAATAGGAGATTGTTACATGCAATCAGTTCTTCAATTCCACAGTTGCTAGCTTCTAGTAGAACTATGCCATTCTTGCTACATTTATATGTTCATATTCCATGTAGACAGTATTTTTTTAAATCCTGAAGCCAAAGTTTGTGATAAGGGATGGAGCAAATCTGCTTTGCTCTTAAAAAACTGTATCAAAGATGCATGTGGTTATTCCTATTTGCCAAGGATATTCTGGACTTAACGCATTTTGTAAATAGAGACCACCATAAATGATTGTTCTTTATGAATAAAATGCATGTTTTAAACTCTATGAATTCACGGTCTGTTGTCTTCTGCTTAAAGAGAAAAAAATCAACAGGATGTTCAGGGACTTGATAAAGCCTTATCAAAATGATGAAGTTTTATAATGAAGTGAACTAACATTGCAGTACTGTTCCTATTGGTCGATTTTAAAACTAAATTTTAAAAATATATTTTATTTTAAAATGAAACAAATTAGTATCTCAAACAGAAAATAAGCAAACCACACTCCAAGTATTCTAAGCACAAAAGTCACTAGTTCTTTTAGACCTGAAACAATGACAATCCAACAGCTCTAAAAAAAAAAAACACACACAAAAAAACCCAGAAAAGACATGCAAAGTATAAATTCATTCAGACAACCATTGTTACAGTGAAGTTCCTTCTCTTTCTTTTAGGCTGTATCTCATGTGACATCTAATCACTAAATTTAGTTATTCTAGATTAAAGATTCATGTTTTGTTAATTTCGCAACTACCATTTGAAACCATTACAGTAGTATATTCTTATGTGCATTACTACAAGTTCTGAACACTAAAACAGGCAAGATTTTTTTTTCTCAGCAGAGTAGCATACACAGCTTTTAGGAAAATATTTTGGCATGTTGGTGTAAAAAAAGCCACGGGCCATTCAATTGGGAAACAGAAAAATCATTCTTTTAACAGGCTATGTCTCACTTTCAGGACCTACAGAATTCTGCAATTGATTTTCCAGGTGTTTCCTGCCAGAATACTATGAAATAGAAACTATCCAAAGCAGCCTGAGATAATACAAAAGTATTGCTCCTTCATAGGTGAAATACTGTATCCTATTTGCTTCGTTCACAGTTTTATTTTCATTCAGCTAGCAACAGAAGACAATAGACATGTAAGAACCAAAAATACCTAACATTATTCCAACACCAAATTCAGATTATGCATATACATTCTTGCTGGCACTAGCATCACTCTTAGAGGTAATAAAGCAAGGACACCATCCAGATCTTACCAAGTACCCTCTTGCTATAATGAATTTTAACTAAGGAAAAAAACAAGGCCAAAGGGAGGTGGAAAACAAAGCAAAACACTACACTGTTCCTAAAAGATGAGGTACAAGAGTGCACTACGTTAAAGCAGAATTTGCTTTCAAGTTGCTGTGGTCAATTTAACAGCAACACTATACGGTATCTTTCACTTGAAATGCCCAAGATGACTATTGCTCTGAAGAATTGACCCTGTAATGACCCTAACAACAAGCCAGATACAAATACATAAATTGTTCATGTCATAAAGTACTCCCTCCTATGCGTATGGACCTAAAGCTAATCAGCAAGCTTCCTAAAAAATACATTGGTATTCAAACAAGTGATTCATTTAAGTCACACAAAAGCAAAATGACATTGTAGTATTTTCTGTAAAAGAGCTGAAACTCAAGAGCCACTGAAGAGCCTTAAGACTAAACTATGGTTTGGTTTTATGTCTGATGTATTTATAAAAACCCTCCAAAATGTGTTTTAATGATCACATTATGATTGATCATTTAATGTTTAGCACGTAGATTTCTGATTGTAATGAACAAAGTATGTGAATCTGTATTCCCAACAGGCTAATATTTCTTGCACGATTCTCATGCATAACACAGGTACTAAAGGTCGCATCAGAAGGAAAAGTGAGTGGTGTATTTACTCCGAAATACATTTGAGATTACTGATCTCAGCATGTATTTTCTCGTTAATAGTAGAGCAGTAGTCAGGCAGGGATGGAATGAGTAACTAGTTCTCATATAAAAAGCCTTTGTGCTAATATAAATGTATTGGTTCACTGTTCATTGTCTTTAAAACACTTTTTTTGCAGCATTCCACTTGTTACATTTTGACTACAGGAAAGATCATCTATTTTCTAAAGGTGTTATTTATAGCTTAAGAGGAAATTCTGTAATAATAGTTTCATTAACAAGCTAACTCAGCTTCAGGAAGCGTAAGAACAGCAAAACAGTTTGTGTCTCTGAATGGACTGCAGGCTCTCATAACTAGAGGGAAACCATTAGAAGTTTGGCTAGAAATCATCTTAATTCTGCTTCATTTCCATCTAGAAAGAAACTTGTCCAAATACTTGGAAATCCCTATGGGGTTTTTTTTAAGTGCTTTTGTACTTAAAGGACCGATCAGTGTGTAAGTGAATTCATTTTCAATTTGCTTTTTAGTAACTACAAATTCAATACCTAACCTTGAAACATTTGTTTCAAAAGCAACAGAAGCTCTGTTTTCTCAGAGGAGAGAAACACTAAAGAATTAGTGTAAAATTATTTTAAATAGCAAGAAGTTCATTCTTTTATTCTGACCTGAATATTTTCCATTAGGCCAGAACACAAATCCCATTATTAATATGTTTCAGGAAGATCATCACTGAATTATGTTGCAAATTATTTACTTATTTATCACTATTTATTCAGTTCAAGTCCAACTAGATTTAGTGCCCTGTTCAGTTGAGCAGTGCCAATGAAAAAAGATCTAGGAAAGTCAGCTCTAACTGCTTAGGACAACACTAGATTCGGAAAGCCATCCTTTCTCTTTGCTCAGACAGACAACATAGTTCAGAAAAAAGTGCTGAAGGCTTATTTCCAGCACTGCCTAACTGCCAGAGTATGTAAAAACATTAAGATCCATAAAGTTTCTGAAGTTCCTGCACTACAGCAAACTGCCATAACCATGATACCATGGAACATACCAGGACTGGGCACACTCAACTCCTGTTAATTCCTAACCGGAAAGAGTCATCAGTCAGAGAGAGGAGCAGCCAGGTGTGTAACCTGTTAGGACATTTACTTTGCTGGAAACAGCAGATATGGATTCTGGTTTGGTCCTCATTGTCTAGATTATGTAAACTGCTTGAAAACTGTAGTGAATTTTCACTATTGGTAGGTTGTTGACCATTTGTAAGCAAGTATCTCACTGTCCTCTCCAGAAAACATGCAGATGAAAAGAAAAATAAAATGCCAGTCTCCTTTCATCTTTGTTTTAGCTGTTTCTTAGTGAGAAATTCATGCCAAGGATGTGGTTGCACAGTTTTGATGGCTAAAAACCTATTCACGTTGTTACCCAGCTTAAAATATAGTCAAAGTACGGGTGCTGGAAGGGGAGCTGGACACAAAATTCAGGCAACTTACCTCTGTTGCTGACAAACGTTTATCACCATTATCACTACCAACACCTGAGTCTGAGTCCTTTTTACTTGGGTAGATGTCATCAATGCTAGATGTGAATAAAAAAAAATACTTAAATAAATCAATAAAAAACTATCCTGGCATTTACCGGTAGAATTCTGTCCTGGTTTCACATAGATCAAGGCAAAATTGCAACCAGTCTTAATGGTAAAGGTTGAAACAGCCTGGTATGGTAAAAAAATACAAATTTGCAGGCTGGTGATAGTAAAATAGATGAGATGGAATGGCTGGTTAGCCTAAAGATTAATGAAAACAACAGAAATAACCTGCTATAAAGTTTTCTTTTGCCTATGCACTAGGTAAAAACGTTTAGTTACTAGCTAAGTAGCACAGAAGTCCATCTGAAGTCATTTACCCATGGGATAACCAACTAAATTAGTTGAACCCAAACTAGAGTCACCTGTTTTAATTGTAACCATTGATGCATTAAAAATGAACGGATATCTCCCTGCGGCTTCAGGTAATTATTAACACAGAAACCTCCTTTTGGTGCTTTAAAATAGACTTGAAATTGAGGTTCTTAAAAAAATTACTATAAGAATGGCAACTGCTCTCTCTTCTGGTTTCATTACCTAATATGACCTCTACTCATTTTAAAGTAAACTATTAGATGCAATACTCTCATCATCTAACTTTTTTTTTTAAATATGCTTTACTATCCCCTCATTTGCAGTCTTGAAAGTTGTATTCCTGAATTCAGATTAACGTAGCAATTTAGAAAAGAACTTTATCAGTCTTCACATGAATAAAACACTAGATTAATCCTAATCTTAAATTATCTCTTATCAGCAAACAGTAAGGATTTTGTGTAGAATCTGCCCATGGAAACCCTAATCAGTTTGTTTTTCCTTTAGAAGTGTGAAGTTACTCTCTAAAATAAAAATTTGTTAATTATTACATGATGGAGCATTAGGCTGCTATCAATAGGTACCTACTCTGTACTATCCCCTTACCCTAACCTGTATACTCCTAAATCATAGAATGGTTAGGGTTGGAAGGGACCTTAAAGATCTAGTTCCAACCCGCCTGCCATGGGCAG